GATATAGCACCCTATATGCACACTTGGGACCACATTTCAGCTCAGATTGATCCCTCCTATTTCTTCTGAAGAACAGCCAGAGATTTGACTACATGTGAATTTAGTTTTCCAATCTCACAGAGTTCACTTTCATCTCGGAGTCGCCATTGGTCACGACTCCTCTTCGCTCTGCTCCACCGTTGAACGATAAACATAAAAAAACAAATATAAATATAATTTACAAGAGCCCACTTTCTCCGTCTTCCCTCGGGACGGTTTAATATCCCGAGCTTTCTGTCGTCTCCGAGATCAAGCTGATCAACGAGGGGTTCGCTCTGATGTTGTCACGTTTAACAAATGAAAGAGGCAGAGGGTTCATCCCTTTTCTGGAGATATTTATAAAGGATCAATCTCACTCCTCCTCGTGCTGCTGGACATGAAGGTGAGGTTGATAACGGATTAGATTCGCTGCAGGAATACCAACAAGCTGAGTAGATTTCCATGGCTGCCGCGTCTCTTTCTCATTCGCCCCTGAGCAGAGGCAATAAAAGCGAAGAAGAGGGGGAGGAGGCGGCCACGGCTAAAAGGTTTGCCGGCTGAAGGCGGCTATAACTCTGAGAGCCTTGAATGGGAAGTCTCAGAGATTTGAAAAAAAGAGGAAGTAGTGCTCTGGAGGAAATGAAAACGTCCAACTTTGACGCAATAAGAGCACTCCAAAGCACAAGATGAAGGTCTTTGGGATGCAATAAACAGGAAGTCAGAGCGGTCATTTTCTATCTTCCATCAGTTTAATAACTGATTGTTTCAATATAAACTCCAGACTTTCTGCATTTCCTCTCCTGCTAGCAGATTCTAATGAGGCTTTTTTTAACATAGAACCTGACGTTTTCTTCACTTGCCGTCTACAGTTCCTGAATAATAATGTATTGTGTATTTTACAACTTCTAAAAGTTACATTATATTGTTGCACCTTTAACAAATGAGTCTGGATATTAGCCTTGAATGGGATGTCTCAGAGATATGAAAAAAGAGAGGAAGTAGTCCTCTGGAGGAAATAAAAACGTAGAACTTTGACGCAATAGAGTGGTGCAATGACGAGTCCTAAAACCAGGAAGTGAGTCAGCATTTCACCACTTCCTGTTCCCTCGTCTCAGAGCCAATGGGATCTCTCCATAGGATTTAGGAAAATAGCTGGAAATAAGGTCTGAGACACATTGAAGAGACGGATCACGTTTTGTTCTACGACATTAATCCATCAGCAGTGACCCCACTGGTGATTTCTGAAGAGTGGACGTGTCTGAGAAACGATGGTTGTTACCAAGTGGCTGAATAGGACTACAGAAGTCGTGGAGGCCGTTGTACGTCATTACGCCAAACACGTAAACACTCTTCTGAGTTAGTTTGCCCTGTTCTGCTTGAAAGCAAGTTCCTGCCTCCTGCAAACTGTTCAAACAAACGCTTCAACTCGTTCCATTTAGAATCTGTGTGTTTGAATATGGATCTGAAGTTGGCGTGACGTTGAAGTCGTGCTGCTGGACTCGGCTGTAGTTCCTTTTATAGCATAACGTTAGCATTTTGCTTCTGGCCATTAAATTTATGATTCGCTAGAATATTGACCCAAAATCTGACTCCATTCACTGAACACGGGAAACTGCAGTCCTGCCGTCCTCTCTTGTGTCATGATGAGGTTCACGTAAAGCACGGTTAATGTATTATATTATTGAGGTGTCTCAAATATACGTCAATCAAGTGGCACCTGCTAACGGGGTGGTGGATGATAGGTTTACATCTAAAAACGTATTTTTCAAACATTATTATTTTTATTTTATTTTTCTTTCTTTTGTTACTTTTTTTTTTAACGGTCCGCGATCTACCCGCATCACACTCGCGATCTACCCGCATCACACTCGCGATCTACCCGCACCACACTCGCGATCTACCCGCATCACACTCGCGATCTACCCGCACCACACTCGCGATCTACCCGCATCACACTCGCGATCTACCCGCACCACACTCGCGATCTACCCGCATCACACTCGCGATCTACCCGCATCACACTCGCGATCTACCCGCACCACACTCGCGATCTACCCGCATCACACTCGCGATCTACCCGCACCACACTCGCGATCTACCCGCATCACACTTGCGATCTACCCGCACCACACTCGCGATCTACCCGCACCACACTCGCGATCTACCCGCACCACACTCGCGATCGACCGGTCGACGACCACTGCTTTATAGCATAACGTTAGCATTTAGCTTCTGGCCATTAGATTTATGATTCGAACATTTTAAAAGTAGGGTAGACATGTGGAGATTATCCGGCTGAACAAAACGTGCATTTATCAAACAGGTTCGTTTTCCACAGATCTTATTTTTTACAATATTCCTAAATCCTATGGAGAAATCCCGTTGCTTTTTTGTCGAAGGAACCAGCAGCTTACTTCCTGGTAAATACGTCATCCCTGCACCGCTCTATAAGAGCACTCCAAAGCACAAGATGAAGGTCTGATTGTTTCAATATAACCTCCAGACTTTCTCCATTTCCTCTCCTGCTGTGACCCCAAACTTTGCTATTACTGTTAAATCTCTTTTAAATGATCTTTACTCTCCATCAGTGCTAATGTGGCTTTTCCCGCTGTTAGATGTATTGTTGCACTTTTAATGAATTAGTTTGGATATTAGCAAGTTTCTCCATTCTGCAGCAATCATTTTAATAATGACCCTTTTTTGTCCACAGTCGTATTGCAAAAATAATTTTCTCCACTCATCTTGTACAACTGCTCGAAGTTAATTATATTGTTGCACTTTTAACAAATGAGTCTGGATATTAGCATTTTAATAATCCTTCTCATTATTGAATGAGGCTTTTCTATTCTTAATTAGAATGTAAAACCTCAAATGTTCTCTTCTTGCTGTGTAAACTCCACGAGTATAATGTACTCTGTCTTTTACAACTCCTACAAATTAATTATATTGTTGCACTTTTAATAAAATAAACAGAATACTAGCAAGATTCTAATTTCTGCAGCAATCCTTCTAATAATGAGGGGTTTTTTGTAATAGGAAGGTAACACCTGACGTTTTCTTCCAATTGCCGTCTACAGTTCCACAAGTAATAATAATGTACTCTGTCTTTTACAACTCTTAAAAGTGAATTGTATTGCTGCACTTTTAACAAATTAGTCTGATATTAGCAAGTTTCTCCATTCTGCAGCAATCATTTTAATAATTGAGCTATTTTTCATAGTTGCGATATAAAGACTTCCATTTTCTCCACTCGCCCGTCTACTTTTCCTGAGTAATAGGCCTACAATTATATTGTTGCACCTTCAATCTATTGATTGATTGAGTCTAGATATTAAGATATTAGCGGAATACTACATCTTGCAGCCATAATTTTAATAAAGGCTTTTTTTCACAGATATTTTCTCCCCTCACTGCCACCAACAGGTGAAGTGAATTATATTGCTGTGTGTTTAATTCATTAGTCTGGATACTAGCAAGATACTCCCTCCTGCAGCAACCCTTCTAATAATGAGACTTTTTTTGTAATAGGAAGGCAACGTTTTCTCCAATTGCCACCTACAGTTCCCAAGTAATAATGTACTGTGTCTTTACAACTCCTACAAGTTAATTATATTGCTGCACTTTTAACAAATGATTCTGGATATTAGCATTTTAATAATCCTTCTCATTATTGAATGAGGCTTTTCTATTCTTAATTAGAATGTAAAACCTCAAATGTTCTCTTCTTACGGCCCGTACACACAGCAGCTTTTTGGCGATTTGTCCCACCGCTTCCAGCGCGTCTCCGCCCATTGACTTTGAATGGGGATGACGTCACTTTCCCTCGCTTGTCGCCGAACTGCATTGTGGGGGGGCGAGGCGAAGATTTCCAGGATTTCCAGGATGTTCAGGATTCCAAAGTTGAACAATGTTCAACTTTTGAGGCTGAGCTGGAAGCGACAGCCAATCAGATCCGTTTATGCAAATCTGACAGTTCAAGCGCTAGCCAATCAAACCGCGTGCAAGCTGGGAGAACCAGACCCGCAGTTCATTTCTATATTCCACAAAAATGGAGGAGAACTTAGTTATTGCGGTAGCAAATCACCCGGTTCTTTATGACCAGTCCCTATTTACTTACCGGGATACAAACCGGAGGAACCAGGCATGGAGGGAGGTGGCAGAGACAGTGGGTGAAACTGGTAGGTTTTCGCTTGTTTGGGGATTTTATATCCAGTTTACTTCGTTGCTAGTTTACTTCGTTGCTGGCAAGCATAGACAGTATCATTAGCCAGCATGGAATGTAGCATAAAATAGCAACATAGACATTCATCTCATAAATGTTCAAAATGTTAAAAGAAATAGTGGAGAAGAACCGGGGTTTTTTGCTTTGTATGTCGGGGGCGGGAGATTCATGTGATTGGTTGTTGGTCGCGAAATCCCCAAGCTTTCAGACACGCCCAGCTCCAAGATTTTCAAGATTTTTGAAAAGCTGCTGTGTGGACGTACCGTTACTGTGTAAACTCCACGAGTAATAATGTACTCTGTCTTTTACAACTCGTACACGTTAATTATATTGTTGCACTTTTAACAAATGAGTCTGGATATTAGAAGAAAAGCTCCACCATGAAGCCATAATTGTAATAATTGGGCTAATCTTCTTAGTTGCGATGTTAAACCTCACATTTTCTCCACTAACCGTATTTTCTTCAATTGCTGTCTACAGTCCCCAAATTGTAATGTTCTCTGTCTTTTACAACTATTAAAAGTGAGATCCTATTGTTGCACTTTTAACTAATTAGTCTGCGTGTTAGCAAAATACTTTTTTTTCACAGTTTCACGTTTTCTCCACTTGCCTTCTACAGTTCCTGAGTAATAATGTACTCTGTCTTTTACAACTTCTAAAAGTTATATTTGTTGCACCTTTAACAAATTAGTCTGGATATCATAAAATATACAAATGAGGTTTTTTCTTAAACGTAAAACCTCTCGTTTTCTCCACTCACCGTATGCTGTAGAGCACGTTGCCGTTTTTAGATATGCGCAGCAGCTTGTTGTCGGTGGTGACCTCGTGGAAGTTGGCCCCCTTCTCATTGGCGAAGAACAAGTCAGGTTTCCAGATGGAGTCCAACATAGAGGGGTCGAGGTCCAGCGAGTCGTCGGGGGTACTCGCTGTACGCCAGACGAGGGTCGTTCCACTGCCTGCCGCAAGAAGATGTTCACTCTGTAGTCCTGAGAGGAGAGAGGAAATACATGAAGGGTTAGAGAGGGAGAACTAACTTCTGTAACGCATCTTATCACTCTTGTTGTGGCGTTTTAATCCGTTTCTACTACATTTTAAAGGTCACCTATTATGCAAAATCCACTTCCTCATGTCTCTTCTACATCAACATGTGTCCCCTCTTCTTCATGTCTCTTCTACATCAACATGTGTCCCCTCTTCTTCATGTCTCTTCTACATCAACATGTGTCCCCTCTTCTTCATGTCTCTTCTACATCAACATGTGTCCCCTCTTCTTCATGTCTCTTCTACATCAACATGTGTCCCCGTCTTCTTCATGTCTCTTCTACATCAACATGTGTCCTCTCTTCTTCATGTCTCTTCTACATCACCTGTGTCCCCTCTTCTTCATGTCTCTTCTACATCAACATGTGTCCCCTCTTCTTCATGTCTCCTCTACATCAACATGTGTCCCCTCTTCTTCATGTCTCTTCTACATCAACATGTGTCCCCTCTTCTTCATGTCTCTTCTACATCAACATGTGTCCCCTCATTCTTCATGTCTCTTCTACATCAACATGTGTCCCCTCATCTTCATGTCTCTTCTACATCAACATGTGTCCCCTCTTCTTCATGTCTCTTCTACATCAACATGTGTCTCCCCTCTTCTTCATGTCTCTTCTACATCAACATGTGTCCCCTCTTCTTCATGTCTCTTCTACATCAACATGTGTCCCCTCATTCTTCATGTCTCTTCTACATCAACTTGTCTCCCCCATCTTCAGTCTCTTCTACATCAACATTGTGCTCCCCCTCATCTTCATGTCTCTTCTACATCAACATGTGTCCCCTCTTCTTCATGTCTCTTCTACATCAACATGTGTCCCTCTTCTTCATGTCTCTTCTACATCAACATGTGTCCCCTCTTCTTCATGTCTCTTCTACATCAACATGTGTCCCCTCTTCTTCATGTCTCTTCTACATCAACATGTGTCCCCTCTTCTTCATGTCTCTTCTACATCAACATGTGTCCCCTCTTCTTCATGTCTCCTCTAACATCAACATGTGTCCCCTCTTCTTCATGTCTCTTCTACATCAACATGTGTCCCCTCTTCTTCATGTCTCTTCTACATCAACATGTGTTCCCCTCTTCTTCATGTCTCTTCTACATCAACATGTGTCCCCTCTTCTTCATGTCTCTTCTACATCAACATGTGTCTCCTCTTCTTCATGTCTCTTCTACATCAACTTGTCTCCCCTCTTCTTCATGTCTCTTCTACATCAACATGTGTCCCCTCTTCTTCATGTCTCTTCTACATCAACATGTGTCCCCTCTTCTTCATGTCTCTTCTACATCACATGTGTTCCCTCTTCTTCATGTCTCTTCTGCATCAACATGTGTCCCCTCTTCTTCATGTCTCTTCCACATCAACATGTGTCCCCTCTTCTTCATGTCTCCTCTACATCAACATGTGTCCCCTCTTCTTCATGTCTCCTCTACATCAACATGTGTCCCCCTCTTCTTCATGTCTCTTCCACATCAACATGTGTCCCCTCTTCTTCATGTCTCCTCTACATCAACATGTGTCCCCTCTTCTTCATGTCTCCTCTACATCAACATGTGTCCCCTCTTCTTCATGTCTCTTCTACATCAACATGTGTCCCCTCTTCTTCATGTCTCTTCTACATCAACATGTGTCCCCTCTTCTCCATGTCTCTTCTACATCAACATGTGTCCCCTCTGTGGAAAGAGACTCTGAAAGTTTCAGGAACAAAGATTCTCTCTCTTTTTGATCCATTTCTATAAAAACTTAATGAGCTGATCAGATTTTGGCCACTTTATGATGTCATAACGATTTTATACAAGTGCACTGCAGTTTTTTAAAAAGGTCACTCAATGGACTTTGAAATTAAGAGAAACACTGACTCTATTTTACATAATTAAGAAAATACTTCATCGTCTATAAATCATTATTAAAAATAAAACAAATATTAGTTAAGTGACCAATAACAACTGCCAACCTAAGAGGAGTTACTAACTTACTTTACTAGGACAAACCCGAATGACTGTACCCCAAATACAAGCAGGTATTAACGTCTACAGGCGATCTATATCTTTGTTAAGGCCAAGTTTTCTTGCGTATATTACCATTTGAAGATGTTATTGAAAATGTAATGAAATAATCCTTTGACAATAAACTATAATCTAATTTGCACATTTTTCTAATTTAATATGAGTCGTTACAACAGAACCAATTATAAGCTATGTTCTCTTGAGGTCCAAAGTCTCTCCGAAGCAGACGAGGCGATTGGAGGAATATTGATTCGGCAGAGACACTGAATTACAACAAACCGGCAGAAGTCATAAAGCATAGATCCCAGAAAACACATGAACAGGAGGTTCTGCAGAGAGATGAATGTTATACGGGTTAAAGATAAAGGAAAGGGATGAAGAGAGTCTAATCGAGGGTCAGTGCACGGCTGAATCGAGAAGCTGTGACTCGATATGGAGGAAGGGATGGTGGCGGATGTACAGATGGAGCGATGGACGGGACTTTGCGGTTGGATGAGCAGGTTTTTATGGGTCTTCATCCATATGTCATTTTCTGCTTTATATGAATGTAAGAGAGATTTTACTGATCCGGACGAGCTGTGGCCTCGAGACGCATCTGAGATCATTTTGACCTCCTATGAGCCTCTGTGCTTTTTGAAACGTTTGTATGACAATATCAATATATGACAAACGATATCTTGACAGCGTATCACTGCGGTTGTATGATAATCCATCATAGCCCAACTTTATCTATATGTTGGTATGTATGTGTCCGACTATACTATATTGTTTTCTTCACCATTATTATCATTTTTGCCCTCAAACTTCGTATGGGATTCACCGCTGAGTCCGCTAACCGTTATAGCCAAGAGGACGATTCACGTACAACGATAACAGTTCTGTCTGCCGTCCAATCTTATTAAACAATGAACTCCACTGTCTTTGTTATGTCAATTTCTGTCTGAAACAAATCAAGCTTGTACTTCACAAAGAAGAAAGACTTTTCTCGAGGCGGCCTCATGCAGCAACATTTGCTTACACCTCATTGGAAACAATTGGAAACACTCAATCATTTACAAGTACAGCTAATTGAACTCTACTCTTATTTCTTAACTTGTGTTTGGACGCGTAGGGTTAGGGTTGTGTATGCTTGTAGTTTGTCAGAGTTATTTTTCTTCCAAGAACAAGACTAACACCACCCAAAAGGAGAACTTTCAGAAGGCGGTAGTCTGAAAAAACCCGGCCAAATCAAGCTTGTAATTCACGTATTCCTGAAAGCTTAAATATTTTCAACTCGCTCTACAAAACATATACCTTGTTTTTTATTATGTTCCTCACTTGTTATTGTCATTTTCTGTCATACTTTGTAAAGCGCTTTGGGCTGCGTCCAGCATGAAAGGGGCTATATAAATAAAGTTCATTATTATTAGTATGTCTTGGAATGACCTTCAACCACGCTTCAAACTGACGCCACTTGTCTCAATAGCATGTTTTGAATTGAAGTTGTCTGAAGTCCTTACCACCAGCTGCTCTCGCAGTAATAAGTAGTGCACCTTTCTTACGGCCCGTCCACACAGCGGCGTGCGTTGACGCTTGCCGGCTGGCGTGTCTGACACTCGACCAACAACCAATCACATGAATCTCCCGCCCCTGACACACAAGCAGCGGTTTGATTGGCTAGAGCTTGTACTGGCATATGATTCGATTGGCTGAAGCTTCTGCCGAGGCGGCAAAAGTTGAACATTGCTCAACTTTTGCAGCGAACCACGCCAGCAACGCTCCGCGTCGCTTCCCACGATGCAGTTCGGCTAAAAGTGACGTCACCCCATTCAAAGTGGATGGGCAGAAGCGTTGGAAGCTTCAACGCACGCTGCTGTGTGGACGGGCCGTTACTGTCCTAATGTGCACAATGTAGGGACTGCTTTTTTGTCTTTTGTTTTCTTAGTTATGTTCTCTGTATTTTATATGTTTGTGTTATGTGTAACGTTGCTGCCTTCTTGGCCAGGTCAGCATTGCCAATGAGATTCTATCTCGATGCTTTTATCTGGTTAAAAAAAATAAAAAATGATTATTATTATTTCTGAACTTGTTTTTGGAAGATTTTTGATGCCTGTAGTGTAGACGGGCCGTTATGGTTGAGTACGCTTGTAGTTTGGCTTTGCAGTCTTACTTGTCTTCCAAAACAGTAGTAACAGTCGTAGAAGTACAGTAGTTGGGTACAGAGACAGATAGATGGATGAGCAGAGTTACCCGGCTACAGATCTGAAGGTCACTGCTCTCTCTTTAGTCTTACAGCGAGATGGAGAGATACAGCGAGTCGACAGACACAGGGATTGATGAACGGGAGATAGAAGACTGTCGTTTTTCAAAGACATTCACAAGAGCCTACAAATAAGAGATAATAACGAGTGCTTCTGCTGGTTGTTTTTGCATTGAGTAGGAGGGATTTCTAAGGCTCAAAGAACAAAGCCTTTCCCTTTGTGTGTCAGAACAATCACCTTCAGAACAAGACTTGAAACAACCAGCTCAAAAACACCAGTGTGCGCCCATTGTTTTGGTTGTTGGGCAGATTTCATGCTCTCGTACTCAGTCTTTTACAAGGTCAGGAATCCTTGGTGCTGTTTGTGAACCTTTTACAGAACCGTCTTTAGAGGAAGACTGAAATGTACAAGTAATAAAACAACAACTTATGATTCTCAGACACATGTGACACGGTATCCTTACACTCATGTGTTTGAAAACTAAGTCATGCTCCATTATCTAATATTAAGAAATCCTTGGTTCTGACCACTGATACATAGGAGGAGGACTACGAGGGTCACATATGCATTTTTTTTTTATCTGACCAAAAGTGAATGTTTTTCACTTCTGAGAAAAAAGTCAGAATTCAAAATGTTGTAAAATTAAGACTTTCTTTTGAGATTTTCC